GGCTCTCCGCAGGAAGCGACTGAGCCGGCCACCAGCCGAGCCCCGGACGGGTCTGACATTTCCGCCTCCGCGCAGTCGCTCTTCGGCGTCGCCAGGCGCGGCTCGTCCCTCACGCGCGCGAGGAAGCCTGGGGGAAAATATCCACGTTGCAGAAACCTACCACAACTGCTACATCACTTCCTTCACGAAGGAGACTACAGTACCCAGAAGGTACCGCGCTTTGCTCCGCGCTTGCGCAGGGGCAGGGTTCACCGCCCGTCATTTTACGGGTGGACTACAGCACCCAGGAGACATTGCGAAAGCCAGGCTTCCTTTGTTTACCTAGCCGAGTCAAGGTTGATAAATAGGGTAGGGACAGATCGTCATGAAGAAAGTCTAGGTACTGGGTGGCGCATGATTGACGCACACTTGATGGTACCTAATCAGTCAATCAAACAGAGAACGAACATTATGACTCCATGAGCTGTTTTTGCAATTACTAATCTATGATCTATGAAGGTTGCAATGCTATACCCATGGCCGGCTGGGGAATTCTGGAAGTTGAAATCCACGCATCTTAAAGTTGCCAAGTTTGAAAAACACTGCTTCAAACCAAATGCGGTACTAATTGCTGATCTTTATTTGCCATAAAAGTAGATGCTTTTATAGATGCTACTTTTATTGGTACATTTTATAGAAGTTATTTTTACTGCAAATTCGTATCCCCCAAATCGCACCTTCCCAGAACTGGAAAAGCACTGCCGTTAGTAATGTTTATGAACGTTTCGTCAATCATCTAAGAAGATACGACTGTAGCAGCAAAAGAAAAAAAAAGCATCTGAGAACTGTTTCCACCACAAGGCACTACAACTCCCGAGAGCCACTGCGAGGCCCGGGAGAACGTTAGCCCGGGAGGGTCGAGCGCGCGAGGTTCTGTTGCTGAATTTCCGGAGCTGCGGCCGCCTTAGCTCGATCAACAAAGCAAAGCAAGGCGCGGGAACGGAGAAACCGAGGGATCGGAGGTCCCCGTTCTTAGTACGTCACACTTTTGAGCATCATGCACAGGTAAAGGTGAATGGATGCAGCCGGGTGGGTGGATGCGAAGAAAATATTAGGAGCGGCGGATCGGCTCGCGCGCGCAATGCCGCAACTCACCAATCGGTCATGCACTTTTCAGATGATAACGGCACGCTTATCTACTGCAGACGATTCTTTTTTTAATTTAAAGGAGGATCCCCAATGTTTCCAATACATGCAAAAAAGTTAGAAAAGTTAGGGTACTGGCACATACTCCCTATGAACAATTGCATAGATGAACAGATGTGCTACCACGCGGATCTGAACAAAGCTTCAGCAAACCTGTGCAGGTGTGCATATGAACTAAATATGGACCTCTCTTTTTCTCTGAGTCCAGCTGAAAATACGCATACTGTATACGTGGCAATTGGATTAACCAAGCCACTAATCAGGAGTCATCTTGTAGTATTGCAAGATATTGCTGAGTTGTATTTGGAAATGTTATATTTGAATGCAAAAGTACTTTGTGCCAAAGGTTGTTGCATCTGTGCACAATGATGCAACATATCATTTAGGTATTTTCAAGAGTTCCATTGACTCAACCTTGACTTCTGATGACTACATCAACCTGTCCATTTATTTTCTTGATAACAGCTTAGAAGAGTTAGTGGTTGCCATCCTCTGGTTCCATCTCTGTGGTCTTCTGTTGAAACAATGCTCTATTCTTCCATGCAAGGCTTCCATCCATCCACACAAATTCTGGTGACAGTTACAACCAGCAGAGAGTCAGAGTCTCCCAGTCCAATATACCTCCAATATACCTATTACGTTGCTAAACACATTTGTGTACCTTATTCAGTATGTATTTTTATGGTATTATTTTGGTTGCA